GTAGATACCACGACGGTTGACGATGCTCGAGTTGACGTCGTACTTGCTGTCTTCTTCTGCCGAACGAGGAACGTAGAAGCAGCGCTCGAAGTTGGCCTTGATCAGGTCGGCCCACTCCTTGTAGGTAACGGTCTTCTTGCCACCGTCCAGGGTAACGCCCTGGTACTTGAACTGACCTGCGTCGTACATGTCGGCGCACCAGCGTACTGTGCTGTACAACATGCCGATGATCTCAACCGGAGCACCGTCTCGTGGTGTACCGGGGACACCCTTGCTGCCGGCCTTTTCACTCTCACCCATCTTGTCCATCCATGTGCCGCAATTCCATTGATTACCACCGAAGATCATACCGGTCTCCCAGTCTGTCCAGATCTTGATGTTGAAGCCTTCGGACTTCATTTGGCTGTCAATGTTCGGGCCTGCGTCATACTCCCGGAACTCTATGCCGGAGGCATGTCGCTGGAGAGCTTCCTGGATGACTTCCGCGATAGAGGAGGACTGAGAGTACGCTTTTTCGTCGGTGTGAGCGAACCATGTGTCATCGTACGGCAAGAATCGGCGCTGGACCTTCTCTTGAAGAAGCTCCATGCCATTAGGTACAATCTTGCAGTAATCTTGGCAGTTTTGGAGGAAGAACCAGACTGAGTCGCGGGAGTTGTAACGAGGGTTCTTGCCACCACCGAGGAGATTGGGGACCATACCATGCTTCAAGACGCTGGCAAAGGCAAAGATGTGCTCCTTAGCGTCGGCATATCTACCAGTTCCCATGTAAAGACCACGGGCGGAGATGGTAATGTCACGTCCCCAGCATCGCGCCCAGTCGTAGGCAAAGTGAGGGAGACCAGCGGCCATGCTGGGTACGCTCTTCTCGGGCCACAACGAGGCGCTGTTCATGTAACCGGTGACTTGGCAGCTGACAAGAGCAAGACTCTTGAGGAATTGGTTACCCTCGCGGACGTTCTCACCCATGAGCTCAATGGCTCGCTCGACTGCAGCGTTGTATGCAGTCTGAATGACGAGGGCAAAGTATCGCGGAAGCATGTAGCTGGGGACCTTGCGAATGGCATCGAATTTCGCTTCCAACCACTCGGCGGGGCCCTTAATGTTGACGTACTCCGGCTTCTTGGAGATATTTTGAAGGCGGCCAAGGCAGTAGTCGAGCGCCCATTGACCCTCACGCAGATGGTTGCAGAGTGGGTGGCCAAGGTTGTTCTCGTTCACAATGTCGCGGAGGACACTCCACCAGCCTTGCAGACCAGCGTAGACCAAGTTTCCATGACCTGGGACGTTGTATGTTCCGTCCTTGTGGTCCGTAGCATCCCTCTCTTCTTCTTCACATCTGTATAGTATGTAGTTGAGATCAATGAGGTTGACACCACTGAAAGCCGAACGCGCTCCGCTAGTGACGAACTTGTCGAGGCCTTCAGCATGCTCTGCGCTGGGTACCCAGGTCTCGAAGAGAGCGATACTGCCCGGTGGGAACTTGTCAGGGATACTAATCGTGGTGTCATCGCCAGTAGCCTCGATGTTGACGCCTTGAAGTTCGTTTGTCTTGCTGGGCAAGCCGCGCAGTGTCGTCTCGTCACCGATGATACGTGCTCTTGTCTCAGGACTGTTGTCGACTTCGAGATTCCAGGCGCCGACGAGCTTTGCTTGAGTGCCTGGTAGCTTGGTCTTGCCGAAGCCTCCATTGCCGTTGCCGTAACCAGGGAATGCGGTGTGGGCAATAAGGAAGTAACCTTTCCTGGTGTGAGGGTTGACCCGATGGACGGTGATATACTCGTTGTCGTGATGGATATAAGTCTCATTGTACTCCTCTTTGCCCATTTTGACGTGGATCTCGTTGATAATCTTGCGGATGCCACCAATGCCACCTTCTCCAGCTTGTGCTTTGATTTCGCTTCCAGTGGAATTGGCAGAGGAATACAGTCTCTTCTCGTGCACCAGCTCAATCAGTTCAGGGTAGCACTCGTCGTAACCGAAGACGCTCCCAGTCGCGCAGTCGCACATGGCAACGAGCGCGGCACTGGGCAGCGTGTCGCGTGCATCGCGCTTCTGGGCTGGCGTCTCGTTGTCGTGCGTGCAGTCCATGAACAGCGCGTGAACAGGGCTGCGCTTAATCTTCTTGATGATGGGCTTCGTCTGGTCAGCTCCATCAGTCGCCTGTGCAGCATTGAGCACTTCGTCGGTCTCGAAGCTGCCGATGGGAACACCACCGTGACGGTGAACAAGTCTGCTCAGCTCTTGAGTGCTCCATGACTGCATGGCTTCTCGAATCAAGGCGCAGATGCCGAGCTTCATGCAAAACTTGTAATCCATCTCTTCAGACCCAGTGAAGAGCTCGGCGCAGACCATAACGTTTGAGTTGACGCTACGTGCTTGGTCAAGCATGTATTCGGCGAGATGCAGAGGGGTGGAATGGCAGTTGTCGATACGGAAGCCTTGGAAGTACTTGGCCATGAGGCGGGTGTACTTGGCCATGTGATCCCAAAGGAAAGGGTTGTCCTCTGGGCCATCTCCGTATCGGAGTTTGACACAGTCGCCCCAGACAATGACCTCTCTCCGCAGGTATGCTCTTGACTTGGGCCCAGCGTTGTCTCGCATCGCATCTGCAGCCCATACCCATCCGTTGTTCACCAGTGCAAGAGCTTCGGGATTGTGCTTCTTTGTGGTCTCGTTGAGTGGTAGGCGCGTGAAGTAGGTCTCGATGAGTGGGTTCGCATCGTTGACTTCGCCAAGCTTGGGACCATGGGCATCCATTCGGACGTACTTGGTCCGGTTGAAGAGTTGCTCCATGATCTCTGCTTGGTCTTGATCATACTCGCGGTAAAATGGAAGGTTGACCTCGTTGAGCATAGCCGTCATGGTGCCTTGAGCAGCCCGATCGTCAGGAGTGTTGCTAGTACGGGTGTCGTAGCGACCGAACAAGGCGCACAGTAGGCTAGCAGCGACGTTCGGGTCCATTGTCCGACGGTAACGCTCGCCCATGCGGTCACCGCCGCGCAGAGCATGCTCGACCAACCAGTCTGCCTTCTGCTTCAGTGGCCAGTTCCTGACAGCATCGAGCCCGCGAAGACCAGCTTCACTAAAGCTGCCATCAACAAACTTGGCTTGGCCAGAGGTCCAAGCCTCCATGATGGCCTTGGTGTCTCTTTCGACGTCAATGACGTAGAATTGCCAGAGCTTGACCTTGCTAAGGACGTGGTCCTTGACACCTTGCATGACCTTGAGAAGGTCATCTTCACTGTTGAAGGTGGTGGGTAGACCATGCTTGGCGAGGTCCTTGCTGAACTGCAACAACGCTGTATCGAGTTCGAGAGCAGGTCGCAGGTGTGGAGCGGTGTCGACGTTGTAGCCAGATTCTGGATGCTCTTCGAGCCATGGGCTGTTGTTGGCCGTGTGGTTCCAGACGACATCGGTCATGGCAAGCAGATTGAACTCGTTCTGCATCTTCCGGATCATGTTCGCAATGTCCTTCTCGCCTTCTTTGAAGATGGCCTTGTCGAACTCCAGTTGATTGTAAATACTGTAGGGCGAGTTTGAAGAGCCGCGCATCATCAAGGGTGTGAAGTGCACCATGTTGAAGCCACGCTGGCTCATGCCCTGCAGGTGGTTGTCCCAGTCTGTCGGGTAGTTGCCCATGAATTTGGACAGGCAAGAGATGATGCAGACGGCCTCGACCGGCAAGTGCTCGCCCTGCAGCTTGAGATTTGGACATATGTCGATGTAGTAGGTGTCCGTCCGCGTGGGTTCAGGCGACGCAACGTCTGTGAAGGACCACTGCGGCAGCGGTGTGTAGGTCGTGTAGAAGGAAAAGGCATTGGCCTCGTGGACGGGGATCTCAATCTCACACATGCCAGTAAAGTTGGGCTGCAGTCTGCGGTTTGTGTCAGTGACATGTGACCAGACAAGGCATGGCAGGCTGCTTACTTGTACTCGCGGTACTCGCTGCGCTTGAACTTCTCGCCCTCAGCGGGGATGTTCACCCAGAGACTGCCCTCGCGACATATCGAGCTGGTACCCTGGATCTGAAAGCAAATCGAGTATGCTGGGTTGGTGGGGGGAGGCAGGTAGATGTAAGTGCCAGCGACGTCTGGAACGCCGTAGTCGGTCAATGGCAGCAGGTAGACGACCTTGCGGTCCGAAGACTTGGGGTGTGTTGGTAGTGCTACAGACATGATGGTGTCGAGAGACTGAAGGGTTGCGGGAGAGTTATGCGGTAGTAAACAATAATAGTAGGTGGATAGCGGTACTCTAGGATATCTATCTTTGACGTAGCAATGGCGGCGATGCAGTCAGAGAGAGTGGTAGTAATGCAGTGTAGGAGCAGCGCGGTCGACGGAGGTAATAAACAGGCCAAAAGCCGTTTGCGCAGTCGCTTCTGAGGGTCAATTGCCCTCTGTGTGGAGAGAAGGAAGCAGCGCCTGGAGACGTGTGAGATCGGCGGTGGGCGGTCGCGAAGCATACGAGCCGCAAGCGCAACCCGCGGGAAACGTCATTGCCCCAAGCTCCAACCCCAGCTGGCGCCCCAGGTGGCCCCGTCCTCGACAGGTTCTACTCCAATAGCGCGGGGGCTAGGCATGCGTCCCAACTCGATCCAGTTGGTACGAGGGAAATTGTTGAACACGTTGAAACTGCCATGGAAACGCTTTCTGCCATGCGACGATATCCACATATGATACAAATGAACCCGCTCAAAATGCTACTTCTTCCTGCCCCGCTCTCCCAACGCCCGTATGCAACATAATGCAGAATGCAGGGTTAAATAAGCAGCTAATCAATACGCGGCCAAAACTCCAGCGCTGGCTACTAAACAATTATCGGGCAATACTGCTACCACGAGCTCAGAGTGGTCAAACGACGGGTATCGCGATCTCGTGGCAGCCCACACGGGACGAAGCGAACATGCGAAAACCAAGCAGTCAAATCCAACCCTTCTTCTATCGTCACCTCATCCAGAGGCGCTCAACACATGGTCCGCTGTCTTCTCAGCTTCCGCGTCAAAATTTAATGTTGAAGGGGGAGCCCGGTGGATCGCGCAGGTCCAATCGAAATTGCGTCGATTCAGACGGCCCGCGACTATGTTGTGCTTGAGTCGGCGTGGCATTCTCATCCAGGTCGATCGAGGACGCTTCGGTGCTGACCGACGGGGGCGCACGCGGTGTGCTTCTCGCATGCTGAACCCCCTCTCGACTGTCTGAAGACGACGTGACTCGCTCAGGCGACGTCTCGCGCTCGCTATAGCCGCCGCCCCGCATACGTAAAACGGGGTTGCTTGAGGGTTCCGACAGAACCAGTGAAGGGTTCGGTGGTGTAGCGCGTCCATTCCTCTCAGATGAAAGCCCTCGTGAGGATGACTTGACATGGTCAGTGGACTGACTCCGCATCGTCGCCGGCTTCTTCGGAGGCGGCACCTGGGGCGAGTTCGTGCCTTTACTTCTCCCAGCGCTTTGAGGTGGGCCGTTTCTGGATGGAGTCTGTTGTTGTTGCTGTAGGTGGTGCTGTGCTTGCTGTTGCTGTTCCTGTTGCTGTTGTTGCTGCTGCTGGGACTCAACTTCTTGTACATGGTTCAGGAAGTTGATTTCGTCTGTCAAAAAGTCCTTCTCCGTCCAACAACCCTGCCAGCAGTTTCGCCAGTCCAGAATAAGGAATTGGAAGCAAAAGGCGTCGATCTTGATAGCCGGCTGGAAACAGATGCACAGGTTGTTGTAGTTCATCTTGTTGAATTCGGAACATGAGTGCAACAGGCTGATGTGGCAGGTGATCGCGAACAATAGGTAGTAGTTGAATGGTGGGAGCTTCGAGAGCTCATCCTTAAGCATTTGCGGCGTCGTCTTGGCGCCCTGGCATTCTTGCTGGATTGCCGTCTGGACCGCTTTTGGAAAGATTTCATCCGGCAGCTGTCGGAGCCAGTTCTTGAAGAGTGAACCGATGACGTTGGGGTCGTTCAGGTTGGGATCGCTGATCAAATCGATGTCTCGGTCTGTGGCTTGGTGAGCAATTGTCGTGGAAATGAATGAGATAGTCCTACCTTCATCGAATTTGCGTTCGTAATATCGGACCTGCTGGGCTGACCCAGGAACGCGGTACAAGCCTTCCTCTTCACAGCCCCGCATGTTCAGATAGCTAAATTAGTTGTTAGCCTCACAAGTGGAGAACGAATCGAAGCATGACCTACTCTATGCACCGCCAAGGTAAAGCTGGCATCCAGAACTCAGTCTTGTCGCGTGACTGTGCCAGACGGGTCGATATCCGTGTGAGCCTCGTCTGTTCGATCAAGGGCTTGTGAATGATTTTGCACACATAAGGTTCATTCGATATCGGCGTCTGGCTCTCGTGGTTGCTTGAGCTTCTTCCAAGTTTGCCGAATACGCCCTTGCGGGCAGAGTCCATCTTCTCCCCCATGTTGCGAGCTCCTGAACCAAGTTTCGAAATGAAGCCGTGTCCCTTGGTTTCGTTGTACGAACTCGAGGCTAGCGATATCTGCTCCGACTTGTCCCTTCGTGGCCCGTTGTCGACGTCCCGTGGTATCTGCTTGGAGCCGTCCTGACGATCTGCCGAGTGTGTTCGTGGCTTGCCTATGCCTCGCCATGATTGACCTTTGTCCATGGGTACCGGCTTCAATGGCGGGCCATCGCCATTCGTCGTCCACGAACCCGCAATGTCCGGTGACAGTTGCCCTGGTGGGGCTTTGTTTAGTTTTGCACGGGTACCTGAGCTCTCGCCGTCTTTGATGGATTTCGACCTGTTCAGAATGCCCTTCTTCGGTTTGATAGTGTTGCGCTTTGATGAGTCGGCGTGGGGATCGGAGGAGTCGTTGGAGTTGCCTGAGCCTGTCCGTAATACCTCGGAGCGGTTGTCTGTGGCAGTTAGCGACACGCTGTTTGTCTGGGCTACTGTAGCCATACCATCCGAGTTGGGAGTGCGCACGGGGCGGCCGAGGTCTGGTGTCGAAGCCCCGCTGCGCCCGTTGGAGTATAGACTGGGCGAGTGTTGTTGTTCAGGAAGCTGCCGTATCGAGTTCCCCTGGCTGTTGAGGCGTGACGACGATTTGTTGGCGCTAAAGTTGGAGAAGATGCTCTTGGAGTCCTTGCGAGGCTTCGGTGAGGCTGGTGACTGTGGCATGCTATGGAACGAGGCATTGGGAGCGGCATAGTCGAGGTCCTCAGGCATATCTGGCGACCTCGGACTTTTGGGACTCATAGGGCCGTTGGCGTCGTCCTTGTTCTTTGGCTTGCCCCGCATAGCCAGCGACAGTGTCGAGGACTTGGGCATCTTTCGTATTGTTTTCCGTGGAGGGTCGCAGGGCTACTGACTCCTTAGCACGGCTCCCTTAAAAAGCAATGGCTGTTGCCAAGCGTGCAGGTCGAGGGCCGCAATACCTCGATGGGTGTTGGTGGGACGAGGGCGCCGATGTGCAGGCAGTCGAGCGAGGGTGTGAATAGACGGTGCGGCGCGTGTAGAGAAGGGAGCGGTGGCAGGCTCAGTGGTTGCGGCACATGGGCGGTTGCGCGGTCAACGAGTCTGTATTTCATGACTGTCAGCAGCGGACTCACAGCTGGCGCAGAGGGGTGAAAGCCAGCGGGAGGTATTAGACGGCGCGCGGGGTGGTACGAACCGTGAGAGCCTGGTCGGCGCTGGCTGCGGGCGTGCCTCGAAGCGTCGGCAGCGGGTGTCGAGTCTATATCACCGCCGGCAGGACGTTGCTCCCATGCAGCAAGCCGGGAGGACAGGCGATGCCGAGCGCGTGCTACGGCAGTCTTTGGCGGGCACAGAGGTCGTCGAGTATGGCGGTCGCGGGCAGGTGAGGCGGTCATGCAACGTCTGGGATGTGGTCAGCAAGCGCTGCGGAACGTGAAAGGGGCCGGCGGCGCTATGGCGAGTGTTGACGGTGGTACAACATGGCGAGGGCACGAGTGGCAGCGGCGAGCGAGGTGTCGCAGCGCCGTGGTTGGGCATTACTCACCCACTTTCACACACAAGACTCGAGGGTCGAGGGGTCTACGGGGCGCCGCGACGAGGGAGAGGCGCTGGGGTGAAGGGAGCGAGTGGAGCGTGGAGCGCAGGCTGGGCGGCCGTTGCGTGGAGTGCGGTGAGCGGCGCCTTGGTCAGCAAAAGGACACAATTCACGTGTCTCTGTGGTGAGTGCGATGGAGGGGCCCAAGGCACAGACAGGCTCTGCTGCAATCAAGAGCAAAGGGCACCAAGGGCTGCGAGAGGATGGCGGCAACGACTTCAGCACGGTGCACGGCCCCAGGTACAGTACGAGGGCGCGACGCTGCCACCACCTGCACCCCCCAATTCGGCCCACCAGCGCTATCGCAAACGGCTGTCCACGGCGGGCGTAGTGCGATCTACCTAAGTAACATGCATGTGTGCTCACCGCCAGGCGACGGAATATCGACGGCAGACTATCGACGCTGCACAAGAGCACCCTCTGCATCGTCATTGTTGCGAGTGCGAGGCTGTCGCGGCTGCCAGACCGAAATGCTTCATGTGCCAAGTCTCGTTTCAGAAATTATGAGACCCTGTCGGCGCCATCCATGCTGCCTCGACTAGACCCTCCCGCGCCGCCAGCTCCCACCAACTCCTCTCACATCTGACACCCGTCTAACATGTCTCTCGTTTCCGGGCCCGGGCGCGCTGCTGGGATGGCCAGCCTGCCCAGCGAGATGCACCTCTTCGTCGACAGGCACGTCGCCTACATCCAGAGCCTCGACACTGTGCGTAGCCCGTCCCCAGTCCCAGCGGCCGCGCAAGCTCCCGGCCATCCAATCCCGCGCTGACCCGCTGCAGCGCAAAGATGAGCTCGAGTACTGGCTCACCGAACATCTGCGCCTCAACGGCCTCTACTGGGGACTGACGGCCCTGCATCTCCTGGGCCGCCCAGACGCCCTTCCACGCGCTCCCATCCTCGACTTTGTCATCTCGTGTCTGCATGATAATGGCGGCCTCGGTGCTGCGCCGGGCCATGATGCCCATATGCTCTATACCGTTAGTGGCGTGCAGATACTCGCGACGCTTGACGCTTTCGGTGAGCTTGAAGAGCGCAGCCCCGGCGCCCGCCTGAAAATTGCAAAATGTAAGTCATCTGCAGCTTCGCCGTGATAGTCTACTCATAAAGGTAGTCATCGCCGATTTGCAAGATCGCGAGACGGGCACCTTTGCAGGCGATGAGTGGGGCGAGCAGGATACCCGCTTTCTCTACGGCGCCCTAAATGCCCTGTCTCTCATGGGCCTGCTTGAACTCGTAGATGTCGACAAGGCCGCTCAATACGTCAACTCGTGCGCCAACTTTGACGGTGGATACGGTACCAGCCCTGGAGCCGAGTCGCACTCTGGTCAGGTGTTCACGTGTGTTGGCGCACTGACCATCGCGGGGAGACTCGACCTTGTCAACCAAGAAAAGTTGGGCGCCTGGCTAAGCGAACGACAACTCAAGAACGGAGGCCTCAACGGCCGGCCAGAGAAGAAGGAAGACGTCTGCTACAGCTGGTGGGTCATGAGCAGCATGGCCATGCTAGACAAGCTGCACTGGATAGACGGTCAGAAATTGACGAGCTTCATCCTGCAGTGCCAGGTGGGTAGTGTCTTCTCTTCAGCATCATCGCCATCTGACCATGAACGATAGGACCCGGATCTGGGTGGTCTCGCAGACCGACCTGGCGACATGGTCGACGTCTTCCACACCGTCTTTGGAATTGCTGGTCTCAGTCTGCTGAAGTATCCCGGCCTGGAAGAGGTAGACCCCGTGTAGTATGTGACCACTGCTCTCGCATTTCAACGCGTATACTAACCAACGCGCAGCTGCATGCCTCGCTCAGTCACCCGTAGATGCTTAGGTAAGTAAGCGAGAATGCCAACAACAAATGCTAGTTGTATCTTCTCGCGCCTGTAGATTTCATGATTATTCACTTGCAGTCGTGTCCGTGTATCCGTTCAAAGCCTGTCTTCCCGCTATCTAATAACTCTCGTCTCTCTCATAGGCGTCGAGACACAAAGCGGGAGGAAAGTGAGGGTGGCTGCCTCTTTTGTCAGTGCCGAGCCCCCACGTGCTCTGCCTGCTAGAACACCACCAACAGACCTCTTCTTGCTGCAATTCCTCCACTGCGATACCGCACCTTCCTTTCTTCTCCTTACAAGTGCTGGCGCCTCTCCTGCTTCCCAATTATTCGCTCAGGAAATGGGCTAGGAGCTACCGCGGTGACCGGCAGCCATCTCTGTACTAGGTCTCTCATGAGCACCTCTCCCACCGTCACTTCGCCTTCTCCACCTTCAGCCCGCTCCTTTCGCAACGCTCTTTGCTTTCACTACTGCGCTGCTCTTGTGCTTGTTTCACTTACGCTCCTTACAAACACTGCATCCGCACTGCAGCTTTCACCTTGATATAGTGCAGCCTCGTCAGGCGTTCGGCATGGCCAACATTCCGCTTCACTGCAACATTTGCCCCAAGAAGCCAAACTTCAGCGATGTCTCGCATCTACTCACCCACATCGCCAGCAAAGGCCACTTATCCAACTACTACAAGGTCAAGGTCCGCTCCACCAACGAGGATGCATCCCGCCGGCTCATTGAGACGTACGACCAGTGGTATGCCGAATGGGCTGTCGAAGAGCTCATGTCGGACCGGATGAATCAGAAGGACAAACGCCGTACCCGCGCGAGACCCGCTGGTACAGCTACCTCCTGCATCCGATTGTACTTGAGACTGATACTGACTACACCTGAAGCAGCCCGGCCGGCGCCTCCGCTCAAGATCGAGGCCCCCGCGCCACGTCCTGTACGTCGCGCCGCCGCAAGCGCTCTCCTCGATCCACGCCTGTCGGAGCAGCAGCACACGATGATCAAGCTAGAGCAGTCGCCTTCTCCGACGCCGCAACCTCTCGGCCCGGTCCTCCGCAATCGCAATACCCTCGCACCTCATATGCAGTACTGGCCTACAGAGTCTCGCGCCAGCTCTCGCAGCTATACCAACCCAGACTATGATACTTCCAGTGAATACTCCGATCCGAACGAGCAGCGTCGGAGGTCATACCGGTACAACGCTGCGGCTTCGTGTGCCATTGAAGATGAACCTGCTGAGGTTGCAGATCCGATGGCTGTCAGCGAGTCGACCAAACTTAAAGGTGTCTACTGGCCTGGCATGGACATTTTCGACTCTGCTACCCCAGAGATGCGGCGCAAGAGGAACCAAAAGAAGGACAGCTCTGTCGTCGAACAGCTGGAGCTCAACTCCCAAGTAGTCGAAGCAACTGAGCTCATCTTCACACCGTTGGGATCTTTCAAACGCCAGCGCAGGATCTCGTGCTCGGAGTCTGACGAAGAGGACGAGGTCGAGATCAAGACTGAGAGCCCCCAGCCCGTACGTCGGCGACCTGCACTCGCCAGTCTTGATGCAAACACTACTCGCCGCTCTACTAGACAGTCCAAGCGGCCCGTATTTCCTGTCCTCAGCCGCAACCAATACGATGATGATCGCGGCCGTCCTGGCTACGACCATAGCCGCAACAACCGTGCTACGAAGCGGAAGCAGTTTGACGTTTACCAAGACGAGGATGACGTTCCATTCTCGCAGCCCAATGGCATGAACTATCTTACATCTGGCTTCACTCACCAAGCATCTCCATCTCCTGCACCTGCATTCAACTCTTATAAACCCTTCAACGACCCATTCCAGTATGATAACAAGGAGAATGTCCTACCTTCGTTCCACCAAACGGCTTATGGTAACTTTCATGGCCATCAGAACAATGCCTACCAGTATCCCACCTACTCCTACGGCATTGGACCTGATCAACAGGCCTTTCAGTATACCAGCCATCTCTACAACACCGCAAGCGCCTATCAGCAACAGGACCAAGATGACGACGACCAACGTACCATCACAGCTCCACCTTCACCGTCTACAAGCTAAGCGCTTGGACCTTGTGCTCTCATTCCATTCCCAACGCGACACCGGCTCTCGGCTTCACCGTGCTGTAGCAGATACCCGACTGTTCACGCTCGTTCCATCTACCGACTTATGCATGCGACTTACTTTCCTGCGTTTCTTTCTGATCCATATCTTCTACACGGTGAATTATGATATACGCTGCAACGAGTAGCGACATGCGACATAATTTAATACGGTATTTTCAGAGAGGCGCGCTATGGGGATCGCTGGACAGATACTCAGGCATGTTCTTCTTATTTCTATGCCTCACCCTACTGTACACTTTGCTCGCAAGCATGGGACTGCTGGTTAGAAGCTGGTGGGCATGTATAGTATCGCTGTT